CCCCTTCTGCGGGCCCAGGAGCGCAGGACCTGATGGCTCCCAAGACCCGGCGCGCGGGCGGGACAGGACCTCTGCGGACGGAGCCGGGTTGAGGGCGGCGGGACGGCAGGGGGCGCGCTCGGCCCCAGCGACGCGCGCGCGGCTTAGGGCCACTTGTGTGGGGCCCTTTTCCTCCTCGGTCGCCTTCCCCACCCCATCGCACGCTCTCCCCGGATCTTCATTCTCTGGGCATTGACCCTTCCCCTTCCTCCTCACTCTCTCCCCCGTGGCCAATTTCCCTTGATCTCTTATTCTCGTGTCTGGGTAATTTCCTCGAGTGCCCACACTGTGCCAGTACTTACCATTCCTTCACCTTCCCCCTCCACCTTTCTACCATCCTTTACATTCTTTTCCTTCCTCCTACTCTTCTTCCCTTCCCCGCCCTCGTTTTTATTCCTATTCCTCTCTTTATTTGATTAGCTCTTTCCCATCTTCATTCCCTATCCCAGTGCACCTCTCTCTTTTTTTTTTTATTCTCTCATTGCTTGCCTCTATCTGTACCTCCTGTCCGTAGGTCTGTCTGTTTCCCTCCCTCACTCTCGCCCTCTCTCTGCTATTAATTTCCCTGATTGGCTCCCCGGCTCCAGCGCCGCTGATGAGCCCTATTCATTCCCGGGCCTGACACTCTCCACCTGCCCTGGCTGATTGCTGGGGGCTGGCCCCAGGAGTGCTGATGAGCCCCAAGGGTCAGCAGCGCTAATTATCCGCTAATTGCGGATGACTCTGCTCACCTCCCCTGTTCTCAGACACAGAAATGGTAGGGCCTTTTACTGTCCCCCTCCTCCTGATTCCCAGCAGTAGAGTTGTCAATCTAGATGCAGAAGTCACAGGCACTTTTGCTCTATAAGCACCTCAGGTCAATTGGCAAGAAAGAGACTTGAGACAAGTCAACAGAAGAGAGACCTGATCTTCAGGACACAGAGCAAGCCTGGTCAGCTAAAATGAGTGTCGTTTGGTCACTAGGAAACTGTTATTCAGTTGGGGCCAGGGAGAACCAAGCTAGTTAAAATGAATAACAGAAAAGCCAGACAAGTTTATGAAAATGCAATTTAAGTAGGGCAAAGGGCTTAGCTTAGGTAAGAAGGAAAACCTAGGAAAATGAGCCCCAGAGTTGCCGTACCAGGACAGAGCGGAGCAGGAGGGAACACTGGGTCTCACTGACGTTTGTTCCAGTCAGGGGTGTTGTGTTGACCTAGGGAACACAGCTAATGTCAGGCTGATATATTTAAAATCAACACCCTGAAAGACACTATCACCACATGGCACAGAGGGAGAGGGCAGGACTCAAGAGGGTAGCGTTCTCTGGTTATGCCTTGATTGATAATTCATCAAAAAGGTGAACAGAGATTATCCTTTCCATATAGTCTTGATCTACCTTGGGCTGCACATTAAACTCAAGGAAACTTCTAAGAGATGGGTCTGGGGGGAAGATGTCGCCATAAAGAAGAGGTGCCTTAGCTTAGGCCCTGGGGAACTCCCAACTCACTACTACAGAACTGGAATTCATCCTGGTGTAAAGATAGTCTTCAGAACAACCCTTGGTTAAATTAACCAAGCACTTCGTGGTACTGATGTGGAAGACCAGACTTCACAAGTGTATAGTACTTAAAAAGTGAGAGGTCAAGTACTTGGTTTGATGGTTTTACAGTGTTGGATACATAATAGAGGCTTATTGACTTGATAAATTATGGAGGGAACTTTGGGCTACAATTACTGCAATTAAGGCTGTATGAGCAGATTCCATATCAATCAAATAAGGCATGGAGAAGAACCATTTCTTTAAAATAATTGAATTCACTTTTTTTTGCAAAGGTAATAAAAATACATAGTACAAAATTCCAAAAGCTCAAAAGGCTATTTTTTTAAAGGGTATATATTGAACCATCTTCTTCCAACCAGTTCTGCCAAATAAAAGGCCATTTAAAGAAGCCTGTCACTCTTTGGCGATACAGAATCAACCATGCATCATCAAGGACTCAAGGGTAAAGACCCTATGGTCTTGAAGATGTATGTCATCTTGCTCATGCCAAATGTGTATTGCTCAGAACTGTATTAAGAAAACTGAACTCCTCACTCAGGCTGGCAAAGAGAGTACAGGTTTACAGCTTGGTACCAACAAATCCCAGCAGATCGCCAACTCTAAACTGAGACAAGTAAGACCTCAGGGACTTTGTATTGACTTGGTATGGTTCGTGTTTACTAGATACTGTGCTTTTTACACAATCGGTTCCCTTACCATGCTGAAGTCATGAAGTGTGACTTCCTAGTCCTTAACATTCAGTGGCAACTTCTGCAGCCCACTCCCTCTTCCTCCCTTTCATTGAGGGTGAAGCTGAGGCCACATGATAAATGGAAATCGGCACTGGTGGAGTAAAAAGACCTGGAGTCAAGTTCTGACCTCTTATTGGGCCATGTGACCTTGACCCCTCTTCACTTAACTTCTCTACGTGTGAGAGGGTAATTATTACATATGCAGAAAGCCAGGCTCATGTAAATAGAGAGAACACCATCCAAAATGAGTTCTTCCTGCACAAAACCAGATGAAGGACAGAGTGGTCCAGAACTCATGTTCCCCCAATCAGTAGCACTCCACAAACTGCTTCTAACTGTCCCATCAGTACCAAGGACAGATGCTGTCGCTATCCAGTCTGAGCAGAACTGGCTGCGTTCTTTAGAAGCAGAAAACTGTGTTTCTACTGCCTCCCTGAACAGTGTCGCTATTGTTGTCTACAACAGTTCTCAAAGCGCTGCTCTCATTGTCCACGTGCTCGACCTGGCCCATTCCCAGTACTCCACCCAATTGGGAAATGCTCCTGCGGATTTTAGTTTTGATATACCTTCTCTGCCTGTGCGTCAGACCTTATCATCTGGCCTCTCTTTCATATACTGGCAACGGCAACTTAGGGGGCTAAAACCAAGCCAAGTGTTCTGAAGTCAAAAACCAACAGGTCCGTACGTCCAGCTCACTCATTGGCCGGACAGTCTTCCCACGGTGGGCAGCGTCGGGCCCTGTCCGCGGATACCCTCTAGTGGCAGCAGCGCGTAACTGCAGTAACTGCGAGGGAGGCGTGGAGTGCTCCAACGCCCCCTGGCGTTAGTCAGGAGACGCGCTGAGGGCAAAGGAAGAGACCAGGGGAGCGGTCCAAGCTTCTGGGTGTTTGGATGTGAGTGCATGGGTTGGGGCCGGGAAAGGAGTTTCGGGGTGGGGAGTTGAAGCTTTGCACACGAGTGTATTAAAGTCTAGTAGGCATGCATGTAGGTTTGTGCATGGTTGGGCTCAGGTTCTCTGAATGCTGTGTACCTGTCTTGTTTAATGTGTGCTGTATTTGTGAGCCCACGCATTCACACGCGGGTAGATTGGTGGTGGGGAAGTCGGTGCCTCCAGTGCAGGGCGGAGTCCTCACGGAGGCGTGAAATTGGTTTGGAGCAAACACATTACGGAAAGCAATTACCGGGGAGAGGTTCTGGGCCCGTGGGACCAACAGCCAGAAGGCTGGGGAGCAAGCTCCCTGGCTTGCAAGTGTCTAGATGTCTAACCCCAGAAAGGACCTTCCTAACCGGCCAACGCCGCCGGTAGAGGTTAGGCACATCCCCCTCTACTGACCACTCCGGTTGTCCTTACCCCCACCCCTCTTAAAAAGGCATCCCACACCCAGCCCTGGCCAGAGGTGACAGGCACCACCCCTCCCTGAGGTCTTCCCACATCTCTACCCCATTCCCATCTTCCACAGCTTCCTCTTCTTGCCCTCAGCCCCTGCTCCCACAGTTATTTTGCCCTCCTTTCATTGCTTCTTATATTCTGACTAGTTCACACACTTGTTTCTTAGACCAGGTTGAAAATTCACTGAGGACAGGATCACGTCTCATTCACAGCCTTATATCTAGTACCTAAAGCCTGGAGTCAGGAAGCACAAAATGAACAGAGAGGATAGAACTGCAGAATCTCCATCAAATTTTATAAACAGGACTTTCAGGAAAACCAGGATGCCCTTTTTCACGTGCTAGTGATCCCACATTCACATGCCCAGACCTGCCCTCATCCCTGCACTCCCGAGTCACAGATCCAGATGGCAGGGGACCCAGCCACTCTGAGGTGTCTAACAGGCAGCTCCAGTTTAGTGTACCCAACACCCAGGTAACTAGTGCCATCACCCAGGTAATTCGTGCCACCACATCTGTTCAAATAAAAAAACTGGGGACATCCTGCTGGGGGCTTTCTCCAGCCCCATCTCCACTTCATCAGCAGGGCCCATCGGTTCTCAAAAGGACCCCAAATCTTACCCTGTCTCTCAAGCGGCCTCCCCAGCTCTCTATGGCCTCCCTTCCCCAGTCCCTAGCACCAGAGCAGCCCTGGGAATCTACATTCTCTCCTGCCACTCCCTTGCTCTTCCCCACCTTCTCACGCTGGCTCCTCCTCTGTCATTCAGATCATTCAGGTTCAACGTCACCTCCTCAAAGAGTGGGTTCCTGGTCACCCAGTCTAAAAGAGCTCCCAGTCACGGTCACATCACCTTTTTGCATTTCTCCCTAGCACTTATCACAAGTGAGATTTGTTCATGTTTGTTTTGTGTCTTGTGCCCACTGCAGGCACCCCTCACTGTCCAGGAGAAAACCTCTTGCTGCTGACCTGCACGCAGCGAGGAGGGGTCAGTGGAGGTGAGGCCAGTCTGGGTCTCTACAGCGCCAGCACCTGAAGCCCAGGCCGCCTGGGCCACGCAGGGCTCCTGAGGCCAGGATCCGACTCCCGGCCCACTGACCTCCATTCGGCTTCTCTTCTGCGCTCTCCACACCCAGATCCTCTGCCCAACCTCCCCCAATCCCCAGGCCCCGCTCCACCCTCTGGCCTCGCCCCACGCAGTCTGGCTCCCAGCAGTTGGCGGGAAAGTGGCTGAGCTCCAGCGCGGGCACACTCCGCAGGCCTGGGAACTGTATAGCGACCCTTGGCATCTGATTGGCTGCTCTGTGGCTTCCCGACAACTCCCCCTCCCTCCTGAGGTTTCGGGCCAGCTCCAGGCTGCTGGGCCCTCCTACAGGTTCTTACCACTCTGGGCTGCAATGACCCCTAGGGACTGTCCTTTCTCTTACAGATGCAGAAAAGTGAGCCCAGGGAGTTGGAGACTTGTGTTGCACCAAAGTTAATGGTAGAGCTAGGAGCACAGTGGAACCGGGCCCTGTTAACAGCGCTGCACTTTCGCTACCACACAACTGAATTTAAGGAAGGAGCAGAAAAGAGGCCGGGGCCAGGGGTGCATGGGTGCTCTGCGACCCACAGTATGGAGCAACAGGTAGACCCGTTCTGGTTCCCAAACCTGGGCCTTTTACTCTCACCTGAGCCATGGTCACTCTTCCACCCTGGGCCCACCGGCATGTCCGCTCTTTCTTGGGTGGCTTTTCCTCACCTTGCCTCTTACTCAGCCAAGCCTTCCTGTACTGTCCTATCCCCTCTCTGCAAAACCTCCCTCTGCACAGAGGCTCTGCCTACCCACAGCCATTAAGCCTTCAGGCCTCTTCTGACCCACTCACCTGGTGGCCGTTTCCAGCGGACAATGGGCAGCTGCCTGAGACCCCTCAGCAGCTGGTGGATGCCAAAGGGAGAAGTTTAGGTGGGCTAGCACATGGGTGGATCCAGGGACCCTGCTAGTGCCCATCTTGAGGAGCCAGCAAGAGGAGGACGGCTTATTGGAAAAGAATCAAACCACACAGCTACATCCCCAGCCCTTTCATTTTTATTTTGAGACGGGGCCTCGCTAAATTGCCGAGGCTGGTCTCCAACTTGCAGTCCTCCTGTGTCAGCCTTCCAAATTGCTGAGATTACAGGTGTGCACCACCACTGCCAGCTTGGCCTGGAGACTTTTAATGCACATACAGGCTAGAGGGTGCTTGGAGAGGAGTGGCCCACTTGCTGTCTTCATCAGATGTCACTTTTGATGTGGGATGTGTCTGCCCCTTTCAGGTGGGGATTGAAGCATCCACCCCTGCCTGTGGAGAGGGACATTCTGCTGACAGGGCTACCTGGCTGGCCTGAGTTCAGAGCGCCCCCTGCAGGCTGTGGCATGTGCTTCATGCTTTCCAAGGCAGTGCACACCTGGAAGGAGAGGCTTCCCTCCCCTGGACCCCTCTCTTGCCTCCTACCCATCCCCTTCCCCCAAGCCCTGTGGCTGTCCCCAGAAACCAGGACTCACCTAGTAGAGCACATCCTCGAAGTCAAGCTGCAGGTAGCGGAGCAGGCGGGGTGGCAGTGGAAGGCGGGGCAGGGCGTGGGGCAGGCAGCCTGCCAGGTGCGCACGCAGCGCGCAGCGGCTCAGGTGCTGCAGTGACCGGGGCTGCCTCACCAGGGCGAAGAGGGAAGAGTAGAAGTGCTGGTGCTTCTGGGGACAGGAGGAGGGACTCAGCCAGGGCAGCCTTGGACAGGTGGCACCCACTTCTAACAGGGACAGCTGTCCTATAGATACCCACCTCTCTGAACTCACTGGGATAGGAGGGGACCTCTGGGTGACTTCTTGGGGACCAACAAGGTTGCCCTTTAGGGGTGGGAGTCTCTTGGGGCCAGGCTGAGTGATTCTGGCTAAAGGGTCCTGGAATCTGACCTTCAGAGTTTCAGGAGGCACCAGGCCCATGGCCTCCTCGGGAAGCTGCAGGACACTGTAGGTGTTCATCAGGACCTCGATGGTCCGTGGGGACGTGCACCAGCGCTCCAGGACCTGGAGGAGGCAGGGAAGGTCAGGTACCCATCAGTCTGTGCAGGATGGCCAAGAGCTCTTGTGGGTTGTATGTTATTCCCCGAAAAGATATATTGAAGTCCTAACTCCTGGTACCCATGAATGTGACCTTATTTGGAAATAGGGTCTTTCTAATGTAACCAAGTTAAAATGAGATCATTAGGATAGAAAGGAAAACACAGGCACAGACATTCACAGAAAAGACCATGTGACAACCTACGCAGACATAGTGATGTGTCCACAAGCCAAGGAACACCAGGGATTGTGGGCAATCACAGTGTCCCCACCAGAACGTCCAGACCCTTCTGGGGACTGTGTGGTAATGGATCTGTTGCTTTGAACCACCTGGTTCTTACAACAGTCCCAGGAAACTAACACAACAGTTATTTTTTTCATTTAGGGGGTGTGTTGGGGATCGAACCCAGGACTTCTGTACATGCTAAGTGCATGTTCTACCACTGAGCTGCTACTCCAGCCTGTCAGCTAATGTGTTTTTTTGGGGAGAGGGTGCTGGGGATTGAACCCTGCCAGGGGCCTTAACCACTGAGCAACACCCCTGGCCCTTTTTTTTTTATATATTTTTAAATTAGAGACAAGTTCTTGCTGAGTTGCCTAGGGCCTTGCTAAATTGCTGAGGCTGGCTTTGAACTTGCGATCCTCCTGCTTCAGCCTCCCAAGCCACTAGGATTACAGGCATGTGCCACCGTGCTCAGCTGTCAGCTAACATTTCTACTGTACGTAGTTTATGCCAGATATTTAGCATGTAGCATGTATGAACTCTTAATCCTTATCCCTAAAAGGCATGGACTGTTATTGTCCCCGTTGTACACAAAGGGAAACTGAGGCATAGAGAAGTTAAGCATCTTGCCCAAATTGTTCCAGCCGTCCAAGCCTGGCACGTGACTCCTTGCCTCTGCCTACTACGGCATCCTGCTGTCCTGCCTGCCTCTACAGGGCTCTGTGCTGGATTTTCTGCTTGCTAGAAGGGAGTCCCTAGGTGGAGTTCCTATCTAGGTGAAAAGGTTAGTCCTGTAAAAAATAGAATCTCCCTGGTGTCCAGTGAAGGCCAGAGGCAGCTATGAGAGGAGGCAGCAATAGAGGGCTTGGTAGGGATAGAGTTGGAGCCAGATTCATGCTTTCAATTCCTCTTTAGGAAAATATTCACGGAGGGCCTACTCTGCCCACCCCTGGGGTCCCGTGGTGAGGAGGAGAAGCAGGGTCCTGTGGTCTGCAAGCTCCATTGCAGAGCCAAGGCCATCAGCATTGTTTGTAGCTCACAGGCCTCGGGTGTGGCAAAAAATAAGTAGGATCAGGAGCTGAGCATGGTCAGGGAAAGCACTGTCCCACATGGGGTGGTCTCCGCAGTGGTGGCCTGGAGCCAGGAGGAGGCAAGAAAGACTTGCAGTGGGAGCAGCCCAGGGAGGGAGCCTCCATGTGCTCCGATGGACAGCCACAGCCTAACACGCACAGGTGCCACGATGGCCACCCTGAGTGCCCACTCCTGCACATACCTCGTGCACATCCCATGTGTGTCGCACACAACATGAGGGGCCTGGACAGCCCTGCCTTCCAGGGGCCCTGGAGGATGGTGGGCACAGGTAGAAGGCCCAGGCTTGACTAGGGCAGGGGGACCCCCAGAGCACACAACTTACACCCTCGGGCCCGCTGCTTCTTGCCCTGATTCTGGGAGGTACTTACCAGAGCTGCCCTGGCCGAGTCTGTCTGGGACAGGCCTCTTCATTTCAGTCTCCAGTGAGGAAAGGGCATGTCTGCCCGAGATGTCCACCCTGTGGCAAAGCCTGTCTATCCACACACCAGGCTTCCCAGAAGTGCCCATCCCAAGGCCCACTCCTCCAGGAAGCCCAGGCTGCCACTCCACCTGCACTGCTGCTGTGCCCAGCGATCCTTCTGTTAGGGGATGCCTAGCGGCTCACCAAGCGCCCCCACACGCATCCCCTCCCTTTCAGACAATGGTTGCTAACAAGTACTGAGGCGGTGTGCCTAGCTCCAGAGCCTGCTCTGTCAGTGCCACCAGCTTCAGAGGTTGTTGGAGGACTGAGGGACCCAGTCCACAGGTGGCATAACTTTGAATAGTGTCTGATGTGTGCTGTCCCCCACTGGTCCCTACTATGCTCCTGTGGCTTTCCGTCTCTGCTCAGTAGAGGATGCATGACCTGCCAGAAACTTGAGGTCCAGAGGATTTCAGTAACTTGCCTACAGTCACAAGAACAGCATCAAAGCTAGAACCAGATTCAGGTCCCCTCAGTGCCAAGTCCAGTAAGGTGGCTCCTGGAGAGCTGGTGGCATGTCACACCGATGGGCCCCAGCGTCTTCCTTGTGGGAAGGCAGGAAGCCCAGCCAAGACTGGAGGGCTTTCAGATCACAGGAAAAGAACACATGGGGCCCTTTGCTCTGCTGGCCCCTGGGCTCCCCGAGACAGGCCGCAGGGCAGGGCAGAGCCGCGGGCAGGCGCGGGGTCCCGGGAATCTGTGTGCTGTGCCAAGTCCTCCTCCTGCCCCGCCTGGCAGGGAAATCATTAGCTGTCAGAGCCGGCGTCAGATTACAGGGAATTGCTCCTCTCCTAATTATCTGGTGTTAATAGGAGATTAATTAGTGTTAATTGTTGATTTTCTTGTATTTTCCCAAAGGGGAGACCAATCTGCCGAACTCTCGGGCTGTTTAATTATTTGGTCTTGCTTAGGAATCCAGACAGATGCTTCTAGGTTTGTGAGCAAAGGGGAGAGGCGGGGACAGTAGGGTGGGCCCAGGAAGGGGCGGGGCGGGGTGGGACCAGCCCCGAAGCAGCGCCAGAGGGGACCTGCCAACCCTCCCAGAAGGCCAGTTCAGGCCTGACCCAGCTGCTGTGACAACAGGAGTCCTTCCCTGCCCTCCCTGACAGTAGCCCCCATGGGCGGGACACTACAGGGGACAAGGTCCCTGGCCCGGGAATCTGCCCTGCACTTCAGGTCTTCAGGTTGAACCTACTCTGGGGAAATTAGTGCAAAGTAAGATATAAACCAAAAAATGACAGTGAAGGGCATTTTCAAAGGTGCAGGGTGATTGAACCTCAGGAAATGGGCTCATGCTCTGCCCTGGGAGGGGTCTCGCCTGTGCCCACTGTCTGTCTCTCTCAGCTGATACTGCTGGTACTCTGAGCTCCCCAAATGCTCTTCCAGCAGTTCATAGCCCTGAGGAAGACCTTTCACCTTCTATGCTGCTCACATCAGTCTTGACTCATTCAGTATTTTTTTTTTTTCCATTTTGAAACAAGGTCTTGCTAAGTTGCTGAGTCTGGCCTTCAACATGGGAGCCTCCTGAGTCAGCCTCCTGAATCTCTGGGACTACAATTGTTCACCACCATGCCTGGCTTTGATTTAGTCTTGTTGGATCTTTTATAATCCTTCTGCATTCAGTCCACCTTCGCCATACACGTCCACACACAAACTCTGGACACAGGTACACACACACCCTGCATGTAGGTGCACATGAATGTATACACATGTGTGCTCACAAACACGCTTCCTGTTCTGAGCCCTGGCTTTTACCTCTATTAGGGTTTTGCTTCCTTGTTGAATGAAAGAAGGGGCTAACCTGTGTGCCCTGGGTTCCAGGCTGCATTGCAAAACAAGCTGGCAAGTGGTCTAGGTCTCCCGTCCCCTCACATCATGGCCCTCTCCATGCCTTCAGCCCCCGTACCTTGGGGAGGGCTCCTGGCCAGACTCGGACAGCGCCGTGGTTGAGTAGAGCCCGCACCACTTGCTCAGGGCTCTGGGCCAGGGCTGTAGCTGGACCCTGCAGAGCACAGTGCAGGGCTGTGTGTCCCCCATAGTCCATGGCATTGGCACTGACACCACGGGACAGGAGCAGCTCTACAACGGCCGCGTGGCCATGGCGACAGGCCAGGTGCAGGGGGCGCTGTTTGTCCCGGTCAGCAGCATCCGCATCTGCCCCCGCTGACAGCAGTAAACGGCACAGCTGGAAACAGCGGGTAGTGGTGGCCTCAGCATCGGCAGGAGACTGGCAGCGGATGTCACAGGCAGCCAACAGTGGTGTCCAGCCCTCGGCATTGCGGGCATCCGGGCATGCACCCCGTCTTAGAAGCAGGTCTGCCAGTTCCACATGGCCAAGTCGGGCTGCCACGTGCAAAGGGGTCTCCTCCTCCTCTTCAGACCGGCCATCCACTTGTGCACCAAAGCGCAGGAGCAGCTCCGCACACCTAGGAAGAGCGAGATGGCGGGGAGGGAAGCGGGTCTGCTAACAGGGCAGGGGGCCCTGGCTGGCTCCTGGCTGTGTCCTGCCTGTCACTCACTGGCAGGACCCACAGTGGCCATTTTGAAAGCCCAGGACTTCCTGCAGGCATTGTCCACTAACCCTGTGGGAATAAAAGCCACAAGCAGTCCTCGCGTGGTTGGAGCAGCACCCTTCCAAGGGTCTTGCCGCAGTCCCTGGGTGGTCTCTTATGAATGTCATGTCACAGAGGAGGAAACTGAGTCTCTGAAGGTTTGAGGACCTCATGCGAATTCACGCAGCTCGTCAGGGGCACAGATGGCATTCAGGGCCAGGACAAGCAGAGCCCTTTAAAGACTCTGTGGGCTGGGAACGGAGGACAAAGCGGGGGTGCAAGGCCTGGTGGTGAACCCAAATAGCAGTGGGAACACAAATAACAATAGGGACAAAAAAACCCAACAAAACTAAAATTGACCAGCAAGAGTTGTTCTAAGAGGGTGCCCAGGAAAGATTGCACTGTAGAAACACAGGGAGTCCCAGTAACGTGGCACCCAAATTCAAAGCTGCCTCTTTGGGCTCAGTTTAGAATGCAGGGTGGGGGGTAATACTACTCATCCCTGATGAGATGCTGTGAGCAGCATGAGACGGTGCCTGAAAGGTGTTCTCACACAAGTCCGCACGGCAGCATCGGGTAGGGGAAGTGGGCAGTATTGATGGTGACGGGGTCAGGGGGCTCAGTCTATTATCTTGGATGCCATTCTGTTTGTTCAAAACGTTCCATAATAATTTTTTTTTTTTAAACATGCTTTTTTTTAAAATTTATTTTTTTTTAGTTTTCAGCGGATACAACATCTGTTTGTATGTGGTGCTGAGGATCGAACCCGGGCCGCACGCATGCCAGGCAAGCGTGCTACCGCTTGAGCCACATTCCCAGCCCTCCATAATAATTTTTGAAATACATTTGTTTCAAGGAAGGAAGGGGTGATTATCATTGGGTGTGCTCGCAGGGAGACTGGGCTGAAACACAGCCAGAACTAAAAATGTGGGTTACCGAGAGCTATGGGCCCACCGTGGCAGCCACCAGCCATGTGCTGTGGAGCACGTGCAACAGGGTAGTCCAAGTGCCAGTGTGCTGTGCTGACGACACACCACTCCTAAGGACTCTGTCCACAAAAAGATTGTGAAATGTTTATATTGATGATGTGTTGAAATTACAACATTTTGGGTATGCTAAATAAAATACATTAACATTAATTTCATCTGTTTCACAGATATTCATATGTCCATGTTCATAGCAGCATTATTCATGATGTGGCAGCGGCACAAGTGTCCAGGTGAGAGGATGAACAAAATGCGGTATTAACATGTAATGGAATATTATTCAGCCTTAATAATGAAGGAAATTGAGGCATGCTTCCACATGGATGAGCCTGAGGCTAAGTGCAAGAAGCCAGTTGCGAAAGGATGAATGATACACAATCCCACTTATATGAGTCCCTAGATAGTAGAATTGTGGTTGCCAGGGCCTGGGGAGAGGGGTCACGTTTAGTAGGGACAGAGCTTCCGTTTTGCAAGATGGAAAGAGTTCTGTGGGTGGATGGTGTGGTGGTTGCATAGCGATGTGAATGTACTCAGGCCACTGAACTTTAAAATGGTAAATTTTGTGATATATGTATTTTACCATAATTTAAGAAATAAATGTCATCTGTTTCACTTTCAATTGTTGATGGGACTACTAGAAACATTCAAATTGTATATATGGCTCACATTAGATTTTTTGGGGGGCAGGGGTACTGGGGATGGAACCCAGAGGCGCTTTACTACCTAGCCACATCCCCGGCCCTTTTCTATATATATATATATATTTTTAATTTAAGTTGTAGATGGACAGCATGCCTTTATTTGTTTAGTTTTTTTACGTGGTACTAAGGATCAAACCCAGTGCCTCACACATGCTAGGCAAGTGCTCTGCCACTGAGCTACAGCTACAGCCCCCTCTTTTTTATTTTAAAGCAGGGCCTCACTAAGTTGCTTATGGCCTAAGTTACTGAGGCTGGTCTTGAACTCATGATCCTTCCACCTCCACCTCCTGAGTTGCTGGGATTATAGGTGTGCACCACCATGCCCAGCCCAAGCAGGGATAATGTGGTATCTTTCAGGGGGGCAAGATGCAAAATCTGGCAGGTATGCAGTCAGCCAAGAGGGGGCTCCACTGCACGTAGAGTTAGTCCCCAGGATGGTCTAGGCTCCTTCTGCCCAGATTCTACATTCATTAAAAAATTACAAGTGGGGAACTCATTCTTCTACATTCCTTATACACAGGCCATAATTATTTAGGTTGTTGCAAAGGAATATTTCTTAGAGTAAATAGCACATAGACATGGGTGTATCCATGTTTCTTGTGAGTTGAGTTAGTGACAGTCCCTTAAGCTCATTTATCAGAGAGTGTCCTGCCAATGGGATTCTAACCCTGCTAGTTGACAGCCAGACCCTCAGGGACCATAGCAGTCCCTAACTAGGACTTCTGTCTCCCCAACCTCTCTGGATCATGGGACAACAAGCTTCCTGAGTGCAGGAACATGACTCAGCTGCTGTTCCAGTGTCTGAAACACGGGATAAGCTCAGAAAATATCAAAACTTTATAGCAAAACCATCTCTCCAAAATGGATTTGGACAATTTCCCCAGTGCAGGCCACATAGCTGGGCCACAGCCACAGCCCTCTGCTGGCCCTAGGGAACCAGAAAACTGTCCCAAGTCCAAGACACTGCAGACTCAAGGGCCAGTGGCTGGCTGTCTTGGGCACTGATTGCATCCTGGCCTCCACCAGCCCAACTCCTCCACCCCAGCCCCCAGAGCATGGCAGCCCCTCACCTGCCCCCTACCTTCCCTGAGAAGATCTCCTTGCCTCCCCTAAGAGTGAACCCAGGGTTGGGGTGAGGGGTCACTCACTGAAGGGTACCAGCCCCACGGCAGAGATGCAAGGGGCGTTTCCCATCCTGGTCAGGGATATTGGGGTCGGCTCCTGCCACCAGCAGCACGTGGACACAGGCAGTGTGACCTGCAGCACAGGCCTCATGCAGGGCAGTGCGGCCCCCGGGGGCGCTGTCTGGCTTCGCCCTCCGCCTCAGCAGCAGCTGCAGAACTTCCGTGTGGCCACGGCTGGCTGCCACATGCAGCGGGGTGGTCAGCTCCTCTTCATATGTTAGAGACCAGAGTCCTAGGGAGAGAGGGACAAAACCTCGGATCCTGAGTGACAGCAAAGAGGTGCCAGCCAAGGGGGTGGCACTGGCAGAAGGGGATGCAGGAGCCCGAGCTCCGATACAGCCTCCCCTCTCCCACTCAGACCCCCCACGCTGGGCCCCGTACTCAGAGCGCGGATGTTGAAGCGGAAATCCCTCCATCGCTCTGGGTCGCTGGTGTCAAAGACGGAATCAGGAGCCAGGCTGGATCTGGAGTCTGCCAGGACGCGGGAGACAGAGCCCACGTCCCCAGCCAGCACTGCCTGCCAGAAGGCGAGGGCAGGTCCTGAGGCCGTGCGGGTGACAATGGGTCCCGGGCCAGACTGGGTGTGCTCCTCGGACCCTCTGCTGGGCTTCTCCACCAGCCTGGCACAGAGGGTGTGTCTGTCACTGGGGGGGTCTCCCTGCCCCCTGCACTCTTCTGGGGACCAGCTCATGAGCACATAGGAAGGGAAAGAGGGTGGGAGAAGCAGAGGTAGAGGACACAGGCAGAGAGAGGTTGAAAGGAGGCAGAGGGCCCCCTCTGTCCCCAGCCGGAGCCTGACCCGGCCACGAGGTCCAGCAGGAGCTATTCTGGGCTCCACATGACTTCTCTCCTGGGCCAAGATTTAGGTTGTTGGGCAAGTTTTGGGGTGGGGAGCAGCAGCTAGGGGCTTCTCTTCCTCAGGCCGTGGGAGCTCTGTGCCTCGGTCAGCCAGCCAGCCCTGGGTCTCAGGCCTCCCCCAGCAGCCTCTCACCCCTCTGGTGGCTGCTCCAGCGAGGCTCGGCGGCCCGGCTCTCCAGCAGCAGGTCTGCTGTACTGTGTGGGGGGAACAGGTCCTGCAGCCTCGCCAGGTCCCCGGTGTAGAGGGCATTCTGGAGAGCCATGTCCCGGCACAGCAGGGATGATGACCAAGGGGTTTCCCAGGCCCGGCAGGCAGGGGCCGAGGGGAGGCACCCCAGATGGTGTCCCCGGAAGGGAGGAGAGCTCCTTCCCCTAGGCATGGCTGGTTTCTGGGAGAAGGAGCCAAAGCAACAGGACTCGGGGCGACACTGCTGGTGGACTGGGTGGGTGGCGCTGGGCCCTGGCCAGGCCAGCCAGTGTGGGCGGAGCCAGGGAGCATGCAGGGGCCAGCCATAAATAGCCCCCAGCTGTCCCCATTGACAATGCCCAGATGGAACTCCCAAGCTGGGAGCTGGAGTTAGGGAGGAACCGGGGAGGGGGTGGGAGTGGAGCTTTAGTTCCCCAGGGCTGGGTGACATCAGGGTTGATATCCATGAAGTCTGGCATCTCCAAGACACAGAACAGCCCAGGGAAGAGGAGCCCTTTGCCCAAGCCCCACAAACAACTGGTGGCAGGGCTGGAACCCACCTGCTTTACCATGTCAGCCTTGTACTGCCTGGTCTCTGGCCCAGACCGAGGCAGGGACCCCTGTTACTCCTGTTCCTCAAAAGTCACTCATGAGTCCTGAAAGTTCCACCCCCAAATCCAAGGGAAGGAGCTCAGTGGTGACAAGCAGCAGAGATGCCCCAAGTGTGAGGCACCCCTCCAGGGCTCTCTGGAAGACAGCATCTGCCCAGGGGCGGGGCTCAGCCCACAGGCAGCAACAGAAGTCTGCTGCCCACCCCAGGTGCCGGTCCCCCATACACATCTGCCACATTGAGAAGTGATGGGGCTCCCTGGTCCTCGGGGACACGGCTGTCCTGGCTCCCCAGAGTTCCCCACCCGGCCCACTACCTTCTTTTTCTTATTGTGAATCTTCCTTCTCCCTCTCTTTCCCGGTTTCCTTCCTAGTTTTTGTCCCTTAAGGACCTTAAGGAGCCAGAGAGCTAGGAGCCAGCACAGAAAAATGACAGAGATGAAGACATGGGGTGGTGGCCCAGGGCAGGCTGCGAACAGGATCCAGAAGCCAGAGCAGAGAGAGGGAAGGAGCCAGGGAGCAGGTTCAGTGGGAGCTGGGAGAGGAGGCTGGTGGAGGAGGCCGGCCTTGGGCAGGACAGACAGAGGAGGGAAGACACAGAGATGGACAGACAAGAGAGCTCATTCCCAGCCACCTGGCATTTATACCCCTGTCCCTTCACACCCGGGGAACTGCCCAGTCCCCACCCCCATCTCAGGCCTCCTCGGGCCTCAATTATCACTTCCTTTTCTTCTCCTTTGCCAGCTTGGCCTCCTCGGCCTCCTGGTCCTTCATAAATTTCAAACTCTTCTTGCCCAATGGGGTTTTGAAGTACCACTCCTGGGTTGGCAGGAGAGGAGGGTGTGAGTCCACTGGCCCTGACCCTCGGTTCTCCTGTCCCCACCCCTCCCCTTCTTAGGGGTCCTGTTTCCTCAACAGCCTTTTCTCCTGTCCTCTGGGGTCTGGGAATCTTGTTAGAACCAGGGCTTTCCATGCTCCCCACCAAATACTCCAGCTCACAGTGCAGCCATTCTCCCTCCAGGCCTCTTGCCAAGACCAGCCTGCCCTTGGGGGGTGGGTACTACCTCGGGAGTAGAGGAAGCAGGTGGCAGCTGGTGCCAGAAATAACCAAGGTGGCCACCCTCAAGTAAACCAGATGAGGGGGCCTAACCCTTGGTCCTCCCTGGGGTCCTCTGTTCCCCTCTCAACTGAAGTCCATGTTCATTTAACCTGACCATCTTCTGGCATTTAGGGGAGCAAAGGGAGGACCCCGAGGCATGCAGCGAAGGACTGATTCTAGGTGGCGTTTCTGGCCCCCAGCCCCTGCCTGCACCTCACCTTCAGGGACTCTTCCTCCTCCCTGTACACTGGATCTAGCTTCGCCAGATGGCCCAAGAACTCTGAGGCCACCAGGGGCCTCTTGGACAGTTGCAGGAGCCGCCGTTCATTCAGCACCGAGTGGGTGGCTTGGAAAATGTGACCGGTCGTATAGCCATCGGACACCTTGGCTAGGGCACTGATGTCCAGGCTCTGGGTCACCTGAGCTCCCCGGGCTTCTATCATGTGCTTCCAGAGCACTGCAGGCAGTAGGAGGGGGCGGGCTGTGAGGGGCAGGGGCATCAGGGTGGCCAGCCTCACAGCCCCCACCTGGGTCTGGAAGGAGCTGCGTCTCTAGAAAGCACTGCCTCTTCCCCAGGAAGGTCTGGGACCCACAGTGGTAGGGACTGTCCTCTCTGATGAACACCAGGAAATGGGGACTCTCAAGAACAGAAGGGACGTGCCTGTGTCCCTGGGGCTGAAGCCAGGACCAGGATGTGGGGCTGCTTAGCAAGCAGCCCTCTGGATCTGACATGGGGCTGCTGAGGGGTGGGATCGTAGTGGCCATGGGGTGAAGGGAAGAGGTGTGGGGGCCCTGGCAGGGGCAGTGTTAACTGGACTCCTTCTCTGGCCCATCTCCCTAGGCCCTGGCCTCACCATAGCGAGAAGCATAATCCGGCCGTGGCACCAGGAGGATCCGCTCATACATCCGGCACAGCCCCTGTATCTCAGCCAGCTGTGGCCGGTCTGTGGTCCCTATGAGCATCACGCGGTCTCCGGGATTCAGCAGCCGCAAGGCCTTGGTGAGGTCCTTCTTTATTCGCTTTGGTTCCATCTGCTCCGGGAAGAGAGGTGGGTGGGGTCGGCAGGGTGGTTGGGCCTGCAGGGCCCAGTGTTCTCAGAGCACATGCCCCCGTCAGCCTCCTGTCAGCCCCGAGTGGGGCAGGGAGAGGCTGTCCGTCCTGCTTCAAGACAGGGAGAGGAGGCGCGAGGAGGGCAGGGGACTGCCAGATGGTGGTGGCGGGGTCTGCAGGGCCTGTCCTCACAGCCCTTCTTGCCTGGGCTTCCTCACCTTCCTCTCTTCCTTGGGGATCTTCTTATAGAAAGTCTTCTCAGCATCTCCAATCCAGATCACAGAGGGCTGCAGGAGCCGGGCCACCTGGACAGAGGATAGAAATCACACGGAAGACTCCCTGGGGAAGGGTCACATCCCCACTTGGTTGTGCACCAGGATCAGGGCTGGTTCTGTGCAGGGACTGACCTTGGTGCTCCACGCTTTGCCCGTCCTTCCTGCTAGTGCTTTGCACACACATCCATCCACACCACAACTCCACGGTGGGGCAGGGGCTACGTCTGAGGGGCTACGTCTGAGGCCTCGTCTTCCTGTGCCACCTCCTGCCTCCTCCCCCCTTCACCACAGGAGTTCAGGGGGAACCCAAGCTCCTATCACGGGTTGGAAGGGAGACCTCACCAGTTCAGTGGTGTCTTTGAACCCCCCCCAAATAGGCAGATGGGTAACCCTCAAAGCATAAAGCCACCCTGCTCTGTGGTCCCAAGTCTGAAAACTAGAAACACAGAATTCAGGGGCTCCGGACCTTGAAGACCATGTGAATCATCAACTGCGCCCCGCTCTTGCCAGGATATTTGCCCTGAAGGTTGCTGGGTGACAGGTCAAACAGGTTGGCACCGGTTTCTGTGCACACAGCCTGCACCAGCATCTTCTTCCCCATGCCCGAGGGGCCCACCAGAAGGATGGAGCGGATGAGGGGAGCCATGGAGTGGACATCTGGGGAGCCTGGAGGGGAGGAGAGCCAAGGCAGATGGTGGACTGGTGGAGACCTTGTTAATGCCAGGCAAGGGCCTGGGCTGGGAGGGCGGGGTTCCAGCCAGGGCCGTACTACCATCCCCCACACCTGAGCAGCTCCTCCTGGCCTGCAGCCTGGAGAACAGTGAGTGGCTTAGGAATCTCCATGGCAGGAGCTGTTTGGGGGGTCAGGAGGGAGCCCGCCACCCTCTGCCCTTCTGTTCTCCGTGCTGCCTGGTTCCGTCCCTGGACCGTGTTGGGATGGAATTGAAACATATGTGACAAAATGCTTTAGAAAGGTTCTCCCTGGTTTCTCATTGGGTGTGCAGACTGGCCTTCTAGAAATGGGACTAATATCCTTAGGATTGAGGAAGGAGCTAGCAGTGTGGACCCCTGCTGGGGTGGCCCAGGATGGGCCTGGGGCAGGCGGGAGTCCTACATGGACCTGTGGCACCGAGGGAGGGGACGCCCAAACTGGACATGGCCGTCACAGCCACCTCCCCTGAACCCCAGCCCCCACCCCGCCTGACCCCATCAACACAGACGCGTCTCTCCCCAGGCCTCTCACCCAGCCGAAGGACGCCATACAAGGCCACGTTCTGTCTTATGTCAAACAGAGAGGGCATGCGCAACTTGTTGGCCAAACACAGAGCAGACCCAAGATAGAGGCAGTCACCTGAGGGGACAGGGTGAGCAGTTTCCCATGGGTCATCCAAGAGAAAGAAGGGCTTGGGAAGGCAAGGCTGTGGACCAGGGCAGGAGCCACCCCGGGAGCAGGCGTGTGGGGTGGGCTCACCAACATAGTCTTTCAACGCCACTGCCACACTCTTCTTTAGGAGGCCAAAAAAGACAAGCTCTTCATACAGCGAGTTCACGGTTCTAGAGGAAGACACCATGGAGACCCCAAGGACATTGGCAAGCAAGGACCAAGGGAAATGGACAGGTGGGGTGCTGTAGGCACCAGGAGAGGGAGAGTGGGAGATATCACCAGTGCTCCTGGACAACTAGAGAGAAGCGGCAGCCCTAGCCACTGTCTTGGGAGACGGTCCCCCACAGAGGAACATGAGATGGGCCAATGGCCCCAGTGACAATTTTCTCCATCAGTCTCCCATGCCCAAAGCTCCACCATTTGAAACCCAGTCATCGAAGACTGTCCAGTTCCTGAAACTCAGTTTAAGACCTGAATCCCTTGGGAGGGATGGCTGCCAAGTGTCTCTCAGTGCCCCAGAGAGAGACTGGGGCATGGGGGAGATGTCATGGTGGGGGATGGAGCTAATCGAGGCAAAGTTTGGAGTGAGGATTTAGAAGAAGCAGAGCAATGATTATTATAATCTCCACTGACATCTTATTCTGTGTTATCAAAGGTTAAGAACTGAGGTCAGGGGTCCAGGGCAGTGAAGTGACTTCCCCAAGGCCACAGAGCAGCAGAACCAGGACCAGTGGTCAGTCTCCCATCTTGAACCCAGCTCTCTCCACCACCCGCAGTGGAAGGCGAGCATAGCAGGGTCTGTTACCTGTCTTGGGTCAGATCTTTTCCCTTCTTCTTCCCAATTTTAGTACCAGGCTTTTTCTGGTTGGAAATAAGCACATAGGTAATTGTCCTTCCCTTCTTCCCCACCCACACGCCCTCCCCTGACCAGTCCTTATCCCTCCACTGCCTTTGGAGATTTCAAGGGTCTCTCCTCCTCCTTGTCCACAGCCAGACGCAAGTTCTTCAGCTCCTGACGCATCAGCTCGTCCACCTGGGGACATGGCCGGGAATGTGGCAGGCAGGATGAGTGGGAAAGGGGCTGGGGGTGGGGCTGGGGAGTGGGAGCCTCACAAGAGGGGAGGAAGTCCTTATCCATGTCCTGCTCTCTCAGGAGCCTCACTCTCCTGGGCCATCAGTGTGGGGTAGGCCCCAGGGGAAGTTCAAGCCTGAGATCCACCCTTCAAAGTCTATGGCTGGAGCAGTTGCATGGCCCCTAGGGCTGGGTTTCTATGTGGGCCACCATCCATCTTGCTCTGGGCTGGTTGAAGATGATGTGCCCCATGCTCCCAAAGCCCTAGTGGGCGGGCACAGTGTTCATAGGTTGTCAGCAGTGATTGGTGGCCTAGTCCATCCCTAGCTCAGAACCCTTTCGCTGACTCCATACTTCATCAGGAGCCCAGAAAGAATGAGGACAAGGGGGCCTCATGAAGGTGGGGATGTCATGGCAGCTGGAGGGAAGCAAGCTCAACAGGTCACTGGGGTACGGCACAGAGGGACTGGGGAGGCTAGCAAACGGGAGAGGAGGGAATAGGAGTCGCATGGGGAGCATGGGTACAGCACCCGCACCTGAATCCGGATCTCCAGCTCCACTTCCTTCCTCTTTTCCTTCTGGAGGGTCTCAGAGTCAAAGTTCTGGTCTGGGTGTTTGCTCTCAGGTCGGTTCTGCCACAGATCTGACCCAGAAAATGGAGAGATGCGCAAAGGCAGGAGTCCCAGTATACACAGGCGAGTGAATACGCACACACAGCACACAGGCATGCACTGGCCCCTGCAGGTCCCTTGTTCCCACCTAGCCATTTGGCATTCCTTCTGCCCAGACCTTGATCCCAAGGCCAGTGACCACAGCATTCAGATCCAAACCATAACAACCCTACCCAGGGACCACCCCACCCCTTCCTCGCTTCCCGTTATCCTGCAGCCGCCCCAGCCACACCCACACTGGCACCTCATGTACACATGGCAGATGCCCACTTTCCCGTGACCAAGGCTGGCGCTTGTCAGCTTTTGGCTGCTCACTTTTGTACTCCTTGTGTCCAGCACCAATGATGGGTATAAACTTGGATGGCAACATTTTCAGCGTCATATCAGCTTCCTGGAATAGAAGGAGCCTTGACCTCGACCCCATCACCTTCACCCATCACAAATGGCCTGGTTCTTCCTGGCGCCAGCCTTCCGACACCAGTTCCCAGACTTGGTTCCTCCTTGCCCACCTGCCCTGTGTTGGAGGAGACGTCTTACCACCCTGGCCTTTTTCTCCTTCTCTTTCTTCTTATTCTTCTCTGGTGTAGGCTGTTCTGTTTCCTTTTTCTTATTCTTCTCTTGCTCCTTCTTTTTGCTCTCCTGAGTCTGAATCTCCAGTTCTAGTTTCACCTGCGGCCAATGATAAAAGCATTTTGGAGACCAAGGGGATTTTATAGGAGTGAGGAAGCTATGGTCTGAGACTGGGGTGAACCTGAGAGTCCCAGGGAAACTGCTGTGGTGGATGGCTGAACATGGAGAGACTGCAGTGGGTCTAGGAGGAAAAGGGCACTAAGGGAGGGCTCAGACCTGGGCCCTGGGGATCTGGAGCCACAGTGCTCTCACCAGACTGTTTCCCCTCCAGGCCATGACTGCCTTCTCCAGCCCCATGCAGTCCCATCTTTCCTCGGGCCACACTTGCCTCCATTGTGGCTGACCCCACTCCAATCCACTGCCACTCTCTACTTTCTATAACCTCAAGCTCTGCCTGCCAGAGAAAACCTCCTGTCCCCACCTCCAGGATACCTGCTCTGGAGTCTTGTCTGCAAAGATCAGGTAGGATCCTCCTAGAGACTCCTCTGGATAATCAGGGAACCGACCAGTAAGGGCACTGAATGGACATACGATGAATTGGAGAGATGGATGGGAAGTTGGACAGATGGATGGTACTTGGACAGATGGGCAGGTGGGTGGGGGGATGACATAATGGCTGGATGAGTGGGTGAGTGAATGGCTAGATGGATGGATAGGTGAATGGGTGGACAGAGACAGGAATGGGTGAATGGATGGAGGGATAGAGAGAAGGGTAGAGAAGGACAAAGGACCAGGAAGATGGGCGAAAGAGGGAAGGAATGGATGTTCCATATTGGAAAGCCTGGTCTGCTCTGCGGACATTCACGATGCTTTTAATTGCCTTATCCTTTCATTTTCTCTTCCCACAGGGAAATGAAGTCAGGTGTAGAGATGGTTCTATTCACTGGGGGCTCCAGGTTTAAACCGAGAGTGACAGCAGGATGCTGGGGCGGGGATAGAGGGAGAAAGGGCCAATCTGGGCTACAGGAGGGAAGTGGGGGGGGGGAGGATGAGGCTGGAGTCACTCCAGGGACCCAAGTGAGGAGAGAGAATGAAGGATTGAAGCCTGGGTCACCAGGGGCTGTGGACACTGACTGGCACTCAATAAACCACTGTCGGATTTGGTCCTTCATTTTCTCCTTCAGGTCAGGCCCTTCCACCTCTCTGAGAGCCTCGTGGGTCTTCTCCATGGCCAGCCGAAACTGCTCCTCCTTTTCCACCTGGCGCAACCTCCGCGTTTCCTCCCTGAGTTTGGCCCGGGACATGATTCGAAAGCGCTCCGCCTGGTTGGTGGAGGGGAGCTGGGGGAAGGGGAGAGAAAGGCCCCGGGGCTCAGGAGCAGGCGTGGGAGGACCCAGCTTCTGGCCTGGATGGAGCTCGGTCCTTAGGCACACACCTGCCCCCGACTCCCTCGGCACCCGCATGCACGCGCACACACCCACGCGGAACGGCGGGTATGCCTGCATCAGGAGAAATTGTGTTTGGAGCCGAAATTCGTCTGTAAATTACTCTGATAATGAGTTTGCTGGATGCATCCGCTGCCCCCCTGCCCAGTCCCCCAGCACACCCTCCCCCCAGGCCGCCCCAGCCCCCGTGTGCGCCCCGCCCGGCGGCCGGGTTGGCAGCCGCTCTCACAGCCACTTTCCCGCCTCATTGGCTCCCAAATGTATTTTAAATATCACTCTGCGCAGAGACAATTACTGAAAACGCTGAGCTCACACTGTTGATGGGCCCGGGCGGCCAGGCTCATTCCTCACCCACTGCCGTGAGGTGCCCCCCAACCCTCTCCCCACCCAGGCAGACCCCTGCCTCCTTCCGCCTGCTCTCCCTCCTGGGGGTCCAGCTCTCCAGCCCCCAACAGGTCTCTGACCTCCACTCCCACACAGCGGCCCTGCCGTGGCCTCCCATCCCACCAAGACACCGCAGCTCCACCCTGCGGAGCCCTCCCATCCTATCCTTTGGCCCCCAGTGCCAGCCGCTCTCCAGAGTGGACTCTCAGCCCTGGCAGGGCCTGTCTTTCTGAGGTCAGCAGAGACTAGCTGAATGAGGGGGCTGTTGGGGAGCAGAGGACAGATTGGGGACTGTTACCGGCCAAACACAGGCACTGCACCACCCTTCCCAGCATCCACGCTCACACTGTGCACCTGGGAAGTCTGCCCCTTGCCAGCCACCCCCACTCCGTGAGGTCCACAGTCACACATTTCTAGTCCACCCAGCCAGTCCTCCTTGGAGCCAGTGGGGAGCTTGTGGCCTGAATTGCCCTGGTTTGGGGTGTGCTCCTCCCTGACTTGGCCCCTATTGGTTCACCAAAGCTGCGACAGGGCTGAGGCAGCATTGTATGGTACTCCCAGGGGCCGCACAACCTCCTCGCTGTGCGGGGTCCACCCAGGCAGCCTCCCCTTCTAGCTGGGCAGGGATTCCAAGTCCAGGACGCTCTGTGCTACTACCTCCACCACTGAGATTGTTCTGGAACGGGGAGGGCTGTGAGGAGACAGGCTTGGAGCTTTTCCTGTCTCATACTTCTTTCTCTGCAGGATGTCCTGCCAGCCTGAGTGCAAGGCAGGCAGGTGGTGTGGGGCTGAAGAGGCTGAGCAGAGGCAGGGGGCAGGGGATGGAGACAAGAGTGGGACCACTGCCCTGGCCAGCCTGGCTCACCATGCCGATGAACTCCATCTCTGCCAGCCGGTCCTGCTGGGTGCGTTTCCTCTGCTGATAGCCTTTCCATACCTAGGGGTGGCGACATGAGGCACAACCCATGTTTCGGGGACAGGGCTCAGGCCTGGGAGGAGCAACAGCCTGTTTGGCAGAGGAGGTCAGGCTGGGGGTGAGGCAGTACTGGGAGGTGTGTCCTCCGCAGGAATAGCCCCAATGGTGTGGTTTCCAAGGCATCCCCTCCTCTTCCTCATCTTTACCCTAATCTGTGGGTTCTTTTGAGGTGTGGGTGAAGATCAGGCACCACCTCCTCCAGGGAGCCTTCCCCTCTGTCCCTTCTTAGAATTCCCGTAGCAGTTGGAATAAATACTTGGTTCCACCCAGGGACACAGGCACCAGTGCTGTGGGCCTGAGGGAGCTCCCCTGCTAATCCCATTGTTTCTACCCTAGGGAACCAGTCCAGAGGCAAAACATGACCTCTTCCGGGCCTAAGTACAGCACTGGCCCAGTGCCCTTTCTCAGTTGCCCTGCCTTTGAGGACAGATGAGTTCTAGTGGATGGGAGGTGGGGTGAGAGGCAGAGGGAAGCCAGGCCAGCGCCCAGTCTGTGCCTTCTGTTCTCATAAGCACCTCATGAGCAGGGTCTGGCTCCTGCCTTTCTTTTCTGGCCTTGGTCCTCCTGCTCCTGTGACCAACACAGGACAGCCCACAATCATTGAATGCTTCACATATTTTTTGTTTTATTTGTGCACCAGACAATACCAAGACCAGGATGCAATATTTCTGTGCATCTGATGTGTGGCAACAGGGACTAAATGACTGGCACAGGGAGCAGGAGTCAGTCTCTGAGGACCATTCTCCTTCTCAAAAGATGTGCTCCCTTGAGCCCTGCATTAAGGACCTCCTCTCCATACAGCCAGACACTGGTACAGCCCTGAACACACCAGGGCTCAGTTGGGATGCTCCACATACTGGGAAGTAACACAGACCTCTGTCCCCTCTGGGGGCAGACAAGCCTTCACAAAGTGGTCATTTGCTGTTGGTTTGCTTTTGTGTTTTGATAAGAAGGGTTTCTCCTTTCTAGTAGTAGGCTAGGAGACAGAAATTTGTGAGGCACTGGGCATGAGGGAGAGCTTGCATCCTGGGTGGGATTTGAGAGAGAAAATGGACGAGGAGGTTGATTTGAAGGCGAAAGAAGACCCAGCCCCATGTCTCCGTGGGTTTGTGGAAGGAAAAGGTGGCAAGAAGCTTTGTGACCAGGCAGGGCCTCAGGAGAGCAGTGGCTGAAGGGACAGAGCAGTCCCTTCCTGCACTGGAATTTCCCTCAGGCCCCTACAATCTCTGGTCCATCTGTGTTGAAAGCATTTTGGGGAATAGTGGGAGAGGCCAGGTCCACAGTTTGGGGTACCCAAGGCTGACCTGGAGAGGTGCGGAGTGGTTGTCCAGAGAGGAGAGGCATGGCCACCTTGGGGAAAACTCGGGGTCGGCCTGGGCCTTCTGAGTTAGCTGGGGTTAGGGTGTGGTTGTGCTATTTTGAAGTTGAAATAAAGGTGGCCCCAGGAAGCACAGAGATTCAGGATGCTCAGGTCACATTAGTTGTCAATCTTGAATTTTTCCTATTTCCCTCAACCTCAATTGCCAGGAGGTGCAGGATACATTTTAATATTTATTCTTAAAACTTTCTTAGAACGATCATTAATCAATTCTACTACTTTATATGGATCTCTCTCTCTCTCTCTCTTTTTTTTTTTTTTTTGGTGCTGGGGATTGAACCCAGGGATGATCAACCCATGAGCTACATTCCCAGTCTTTTTAATTTTTTTATTTTGAGACAGAGTCTTACTAAGATGCCCAGGCCAGCCTTGAACTTGGAATCCTTTCCTGCCTTGGCCTCTTGAGTCACTGAAATTACTGGTGTGCCCCATTGTGCCCAGCTCCTAATTGTCATTAAAGTGATCGTTCTGTTTCTGAGTCTCCAATGGCATCCCACTCCAAGTGCTTTGTAGAATAGAGATGTAGACTAAATAATAAGCAAACAAGACACATGCTTACTGTCTGATTAGGGTCCCTGGTTTAGGATCTAACCGTGGGGCAAGAGAATCCAGGCAGCTGCATTCTTGTGATCAACCAGTAGCTTGGCAGGCTTCCTGGAGGAGATGACTGCCCTGGCTCTCCTCCTGGGGACCCATGGTTACCTTCTGTATAATGACAGCACTCTGGTCCTGAGTGAACCTCGGATGCCCTTCCTCCCGAATCTTCCGATCCCGCTCCTCCTCTCTCTGGATCTCTCGCATGAAGGTGGCTCTGAGGCGGCCTTGCCTGGCTCGCTCAGAAGTTTGTATTAGAATTATGGCGTCAGTCCGGTTGATTCCTGTGACGGTCTGGCCAGAGCAGGGGCAAAAGAGCAGGAGCACATGAGGGAAAGCTTGCATCCTGGGTGGGCAGTGAGAGACCAGCCTCCAAAGGAGGCACTGGGGCATCTGGGTGCCCAAGTCCTGCCCTGGTTTGGGAAGATAAGGGAGCACTAGAATAGCCTTGGAGGAGAAGGCCAAGGCGACTCTGAGCTGTGACTAGTCCAGGCAAGACCTCTATTCCAGGAGGGGGGTGGGGGTGCGTCTGGGAGGGTGTCTCCACCACTTGCCTCCGTGGGGTGCTCTGGCTCCATTCTGGACAGGATCTCAGCCAGGATCAGCTTGCGCTCCTTCATGGCCGCGGACTGCTCCAGCTGGAAGTATTTGGGGATTGGAACCTCCAAGTCTGCCTTTGGGGCAAGATGTGGGGAGGAGGGTCAGGAATCACAAGTCCAGGCCATTGGGCCAAACTGTTGCCATTCCAGCGGCTTAGCCATTCTCTGCAGTATTTGCCTCCCTCCTGGAGCTGGAGTGGGAAACTTCTAGGTTGTGGGTGAATTCCCCCCCAGGGTTGTCCCTTTCTTGCCCTGTCCCCATCTGGATAGAGTTGAATTCTGGAGGATCACAATAGGTGGCAGTGGTCCCAAACCTGGCTGTGCCTCAAAAGCAACTGGAAAGACAATGTGCAGATTCCTATGTCCTCCCCAGACTCCCACAGCAGAATGGCAAGACCTGGGGAATCTGCATTTTGTTCATGTCCACACCAGTAGTTGGTTAAGACAAGTTTCATATTGACCTTAGGGTAGGCTTGGAGGCCCTGCAGTAGCTTTCTGCTCTAGGAAAGCCCTTCTAGAACTTTCCCATGTGCTCAGATCACCTGGGAGGAATGTGAAGAGGCAGGTGCAGATTTAGTGGCTCTGGGTGCTGGTGGACATTCTGCATTTCCAACCACCTCCTAGGCAATGGCCATGGACCACATTTTGAGAAGCCAGGCTCTAGAGGACTCTTCTCACCTATCCCCTGTAGTTCATGGGTCTTCCCAGCTGCACTGGTGGGTGGGGCCTTATTCTCCATGCATCCCCAGTTCCTGAAGCTCTTCTCCTCAGGCCAAACCCATCCTCTGATCTGCCTGGCTCTCCTGTCTTTGCAGATGTCTCAACACCAGTGGTAGGTCAAGGTCAGCCCCCACCTCCCACCTAGCCTGAGGTGGCAGTGCACGCACTGGGGTCAGCTTGAGATCCTGTAGCACGCGGTCCAGGCAGTGGGTCTCACATAGGTCAACACGAACCAGCTCATCCTTGATCTCCAGGACACGACCCGCCACGCCATCCAGCAGCCGCCGCAGCAACCGGCGCTTCTGTGGCTGAACCATCTGGTCATAGATGGTGTCGAAACGGCGCAGCAGCCCCAGGTAGTACAGGTAGAACACTGAGAGTCTATACTGGAAGGACTGCCGGTCCCGGTTGGGCACAGCTTCCAGCAGGGGCTGCTCTTGGTCCAGCAGCTCCTGCAGGGTCACATGGGAGGCCTCCCAGAGGCGCTGGTAAGTTCTGCAGAGAAGTAGGACATGCTGTGCTCTGAACCACGGAGAGTGGGAAGGGGATGCGGGGACCCAAGCTGTGAGTTTTGGAGGGATGTGAACTTGGGGTTCCAGAAGGAGTGATATTCCTTAAGGTACCAAAGTGGACTTCAGAGAAGTGATTGGCTGGTAGGAGTAAGTAGACACCCGCTTGGCTTAAAGAGGCATGGGTTTGGGGGGCTCTAGGTCTCCAATGGATAACAAGGAGAGAAGTGTGGGTGTAGCTGTAGGAGTTGGGGGAGGAGGCAGCCTGTGGTGGGTTCCTGTAAGGAAAAGGAAAGGGCATTTGGAGTTTAGGGAGTATGGATACCTCCAGATGAGGGCCCAGCTAATCCATGCAGCATGGTCTGGGATGATGGGTGAGGGGTAAGGGAGAGAGATGAGGGTAGAGAAGAGTCCCTTTTCCAGGCCAGAACCTGGTGCTGGAAGGAATAGTCCAAGGGAAGTCTGAAGACCGAAAGCTGTCCACTGGCAGAAGCAGCCAGGGAGCCATGCAAACGGCCAGGACCCACGCAGGGCTGGCCAGCACCAGAGGCCTCCCTGCCCTGCCTCTCTCAGCCAGCAGGGTGCTCTGCCTTTTGCTCTCCCCACCCTGCCAGCCTCCTTCTTCCCTCACTCACCCCTCAGACATAGTGCCCACTCCTCACACTGTTTTGAGCTGGCTGTGGAACTCAGAGAATCTCTTTGGTTTCCCTAAAGTCGGGGGCAGAACGGCCTAGTGTTAAAGAGTTCTGACCCATTGTTGTGCCAATGTTCTGAGGCTGAGGGGAGGGATCGGGAGTGTAGGATGGGATGTCTCCCTAGGAGGACATCCCTGAGATGGCAGTGCTGAAGCGGGCAGGGGCAGAGGCTGCAGAAAGGATAGGGCAGTGTGGGGGACGACTGTGGCCACTTTTCTGGTGAGAATCAGTAAGTCTCTACCTGAAGTCACCTGTAAGCTGTAAGCCTCTGGGTAAGTATCTGTCCTAAGGGCAAATGGACTCCTCACTCGGGAAAGTTTCTTTTCTTTAACTTCCTTCAGCCTCCTATTCTTTTAAAAGGTTTTACTTTGGGGATGGAGTTTCGCTATGTTGCCCAGGCTGTCCTCAAACTGCTAGGCTCAGACCGTCCTCCTGCCTCAGCCTCCCTAATTGCAGGGACCACTGGGGCATGCCACCAGGTCCAGCTCCTCAGCCTCCATTCCAGGCAACCTGACTTTACTCTTTTGGTGTTGGGAATCGAACCCAGGGTCATGTGCACGCTAAACACATGCTCCACCCGTGGCCCCTGCCTTTACCCTTGTATATGACTGTCCAAGAAGCCTGTGTAATGGGTGGGGAAGAGGGCCCTGGACTGGGGCTCAGAGGCCCTGAGGTCCCCACTTTCCTCTGTGTGACAGCACAACCATGCCTCCCTCCCTGGGGTTGGCTGGGTTAAGAAGGTTCACGTGGCCCATGTGGAATTCTGTGCTAGGAGGGGGCAGGGGATATGGGGGACCAAGCTGTGAGGACTATGAACTTGGGGTTCCAGAAGGAGTGATGTTTAGAAAGTTTAAACAAGAAAATTTAGAGGTGGGGGCTGGGGATGTGGCTCAAGCGGTAGCGCGCTCGCCTGGCATGCGTGCGGCCCGGGTTCGATCCTCAGCACCACATACAAACAAAGATGTTGTGTCCGCCGAGAACTAGAAAATAAATAAATATTAAAAATTCTCTCTCTCTCTCTCTCTCTCTCCTCTCTCACTCTATCTTTAAAAAAATAAAAAAAAATAAAAAAAATAAAACTATGAGTGTGCCTCATAATATTAAAAAAAAAAAAAAAAAAAAAAATTTAGAGGTGGAATTATTGGGCTATGAGCCTTAATCAGGAAATGAATCCCCTGAGAGGGTTTAACTGGGTGGTGACTACAGGGAGGTATGGTGTGGCTGGAGGAGGCGGGCCCTTGGGGGTGCGCCTTTGAAGTGTACATATTTTCAGTGGTGAGCACTTTCCCTCCCCCCCCCTCTCTTCTTCCTGTTGCCGTGTCCTGAGCAGCTGTCCTCTGCCTTATACTTCTGCCATGTTGTTCTGCCTCACCTCCAGCCGTGAGGAATGGACCTGGCCAGCTATGGACTGAAACTGTGAGCCCCCAAATAAACTTTTTCTCCTCTAATTGTTTTGGCCACAGTGGTAAAGAAGCTGACCCAAACAGCAACTCGATGTTGGGGCTCATTCGCAGCTGCCCGTGGACGTTCCCCATTGCCATGAGCTCCAGGCTCAGGACGGCTTCTCTGGAAGCACAAAGCATTCCGCCAGCAGCAGCCCCTCTGCTCAGGGGGAGCCATTCTTTTGCTCAGGGTTAAGTAGAGGCTTATGAATAAATAAATGAGGAGCAGGGCCAAAGAAAGTGGGGAGCAGGGGGCAGCGGGGAGGAGTTCTCATCCTTGTTACTAGAGAATCTTGTTAACATGTAGATTCCATTTCAGAGCTGTGGGGCCCAAGTGCCAAGGTGACGTGGAGGCTGCTGGTCCATGATGCACACTTCTGTAGCAAGGGGTGAAGCAAGTGGTGGAGTGGGAACAGTGAGTTCAGGGCCATGATCTCCTGGGGCTGCCCCTTTCGAGTCCTGGGACCCGAATGCGGATCCTCAGTCCTCAGCTTGGGGAATCTTCTTGGGAGACTTGAGTTGTGAGGAAAAAAACCTGTGGGGCATGTGGGGCCACAGCCAGCTGTCAGCCACCAGGACAAGGTAGCACCTTTCAGGGCAATGAAGCTGAAGGCAACAACCTGAGGTGATCCAATCACCAAGGGAACATAAAGAAGGATTCTAGATCAGTCTAAGTCCCACCCCTTCACTCTAACCCCTCCAAGTTTGGAGCGGAATGTGTAGGTCTTATGCCCGTGGAAAAGGGCAGAGGCAGAATGAGAGGGAAAGCACGTGGTCAGATGGTAAGTGGGAAGGCCAGGGGTGGCTACAGCACTTTCTTTTTTTTTGATACCCGGGATTGAACCTAGGGGAGCTTTTTGTGTGTTTATTTAGAGACAGGGTCTCATCAAGTTGCCGAGACTGGCCTTGAACTTGTAATCCTCCTGCCTCAGCCTCCCAAACAGGTGCCACTGCAGGTTTCAAAATAAAATTGGAAGTTGAGTGCAATGGGGCATGCTTGTAACACCAGCAACCTGGGGGACTAAGGCAGAAAGACTGCAAGTTAGAGGCCAGCTTTGGCAACTTAGCAAGACCCATCTTAAAAAAAAGGGGGGGGGCTGGAGATGTAGCTTCCGTGGGCAGACAACTCCTGGGTCCAATCACAGAAATAAAAAACTACAAGTGGAGAAGAAAAGTTAGGAATCTCAAAAACATCCATTGATTTGTTCTGAAATTGAGGGGGAAGAAAATGTTAGGGGAAATAAAAACTTCAACTAATCTCAGCTGATTATTTAGAAGCCAGTCTGACCTTCGGTTCTGTATGTTGAACATGTAAACCTAGCCCCTTGCCCAGCACAGTGGCTGCCACATACAGGGAACAATGAGAGTCGATGTAAGAGAGATTCATAAAACCACAGCCTGGAAGTAACATACCAAGGAATTTCAGGCTCACAGCTGGAAACAGCAGCATAAACCCAGGACCTTTGTCCCAGCCCTGCTCCTGCTCTCCATCAATGAAAGCAGGTCTTAGGCTTATAAATCACTATCACCTGGTGCTCCAGGAATACATTTAGAAAGCAGATTTTAAGAAGTGTTAGGATTCCATCTGTGGTAGCGTCAAAGAGCAAGTTTACCCTTGCCCCAGACAACACTCTGGCTCCACACACCCCCTTTTCAAGTCACCACAGTGCACTGGAACAGGTCACCCTTTATTTATGGCAGGCCCTGGTCACTTGGAGCTGGTGTACTTGGTGACAGCCTTGGTGCCCTCTGAGACAGCATGCTTGGCCAGCTCCCCAGGTAGCAGCAGACGCACGGCTGTCTGGACTTCCCGGGAAGTCAGGGTTGTCCGGCCTGAGTACTGGGCCAGCCGGGCAGCTTCACCAGCCAGCCGCTCAAAAATATCGTTCACAAAGGAGTTCATGATGCTCATGGCCTTGGCAGAGATGCCGATATCCGGGTGCACCTGGAAAAGCAGCAAGACCATCTGTTAACCACAGCTGTGTGCACCACAGCCTTGGCCCAGCCCAACCTGGACTCTTAGAGTCCAGGGACAGGAACCTAGGTCTCCTCACCAGCATCTCCCTGGAGGCCACCAGACAGGGAAATTGAAACTGTTTTTTCTACTGCTACAGTCATGTGCCACGTAGTGAGCAACAGACTGCATGTATAACAGTGGTCCCGTACCATCTTATTGCCTAGTGATCATCATGGCCATCTTCTCTTGTACATGTACACTCTGACATTTGCATAAGAATGGAACTAGCTAATAATGCATTTCTCAGAATGTGGATTTTTTTTTCCCTCCTTGGTACCAGTGCTTAAGCACTGAACTACATCCCCAGCCCTTTTTTATTATAAACAGCATCTTGCTGAATTACTTAGGGCCTTGCTAAGTTGCCAAGGCTGGGTTTGAACTCATGATCCCCCTGCCTCAGTCTTCAGAGCAGCTGGGATTACAGGCGTGTGCACCATGTCCAGCTTCGGAATGTGTTCTTGTTGTTAAATGACATGGCTGTATATTCAACTTTAAAAAGAAAAAAGTTTCTCCAATGGCAGAGTAACTATTAAATTCCTTATAGAAGCAAAGGCAAGCATTTATACTTAACGAGTGGAATCAGCTACACATGCACCTTGTTTTCATCTAATGCATTTGCATAGATGAGCCATAGTGGGGTGGGTGAATCATGTTCATTACCATTCCTCTTAATGGACATTTAAGGGTTTGTTTGCTATTAGATTGTGCTAGTAAATCTGCATCTTAGAACCCTGTATGAGAAATAATGAAGGTTAATTATTCCTGGTCAAATGGCTGGTGCCAAGTTACCCTCCAGTAAGCACACCTGCATGACTGTCACAGTGGCACCAGACCAGGAGGCAGACCTGTGATCTGGGCTGTGAATCACTATGACCTGGAATCAACCTCTGGGCCTTGTTTTCCTCTTGTCACAGAGCCTTTTGAACTAGCTGATTTCTAGTGAAACAAATGGTAGAGGCCCGAGTAGGTAGACCTGGTCAGGTGCAAAGTGGAAGAGAAGTGACTGCCCCCACCTGCACCAGGCCAGTGGGGGAGCCAGAATTAGAACGGGGCTCCTAACACCCAGCCACCCACTGTCACTGCTGCCTCTGGTCCCCACTCTGGCAGGAAGTCTGCTGCTGTTCAAGGGTGGGCTAGCCCAAATCCCTTCTCATCACATCCCATTCTTAGGTCTGCTAATGAGCTCAGACCTGAGAAGCAGTCAAGTTCAGTGAGCAGCAACAAGGAACCAACTCGTAGGTGTCCTCTGCCTGGCAAGCCCAGGCCTGGTCCAACCCTTCCTGCAACTTCTGAGCCATGAAATGGGGTTAATCTTCAGGGATTAATAATACCACCTCTAGCAGGGTGGAGTGGCGCACACCTGTAATCCCAAGAGGCTGAGGCAGAAGGGTGAGGGTTCAAAGGCAGCCCCAGGAACCAAGAGACACTAAGCAATTCAGTGAGACTCTGTCTCTAAATGAAATACAAAATAAGCCTGGGGATGTGGCTCAGTGGTTGGTTGTCCCCGAGTTCAATCCCTGGTAAAAAAAAAAAAAAAAAAAAAAAAAAAAAAACCAAACACACCACTCTTAGGGTATAGCCCATCCTCTGCTGCTTCCCTTCT